GGGCAGATAGCTGGCTGGCTTATCTCAGGGAAGAGCACTCCCCAGGCTACTCAGAGCCCAGCTGCAGCCTCCTCCCATTCCTGCCTGCACTGCTATCCTCTCATGCTCCTGCCCACAAAGGGTTCTGGCAGGCATGGACACTCCCTGCCTGGCAAGAACCTCAGCTCAGCACATCCAACGAGAGCCCTCTCAAATATCACTTTGCTATTTCAAACCCACCAAGGACACTGGACCCCTGCCCACAGAGCCACAAATACCTCAGCTCCCATCCACGCCCAGGACTCTGGGGCACTTTCCTCTTACCAACCTGCCTGGAGACACAGGCTCACAGCTTGGCAGTTACGGGGGGTGGTCAGCAGAGTCCTGCCGGCTGGGAGCACAGGCCTCTGAGGGAGCTAGCCCTGCTCAGTCTGGGGCTCACAACAGCTCTGCTGAATGGAACCTCAGAGCAAGGAAACTGAGGTTCAAGACTCGCCTAGGCTATGAGAACCCATGTCCGCTACACTCCCCAAGTCCTTCACTGGGTATCACAGAAGGGCTTCAGATTTGGGGCAGCAGTCCATGAACCTCCTGAAATCACGTACAAGGTCTTCTTTGTGAGGACACATGTATTTTCTGGAAAGAAAGGCCATAGCTTTTACCACGTTTTCCCTGCCAAAACAGCCACAGCACCAAATCAACTCCCTTCCCAAGCACAGGGCCCACCTCTGCCAGTGACTCTGCAATTTCTCTCGCAGGGGCTTCACTTCAATTCTCTGCTAAATTCACTGCTTCAGTGAATGTATATGGGGACACTTTGGGTCAAATGCAAACACTCTCGCTCTGTTTAAAAGGGATTCTGTATGAAATGAGTGTTGTCATAAACTGAGAGGTAGAATTTGAAAGACAGAGGTCTAGCCCCAGCTCTGCCACCCGCTGGCTGCATGCCCCTGGACAAACCATCTAAACTCCAGCCTCAGTTTCCTCATCTGTAAAAGAGGGATGAGACTGATTAGTAAAACCTGACCAACGAGGCAGCTGTGAAACCAAACCACAACCATGTATAAAAATCAGAGCCCCATGTGCAGTGCAAGGAGCCATCACTGCTGTCCAGCACCTTCAGCTCAGAGCCACTTCAGGGCCTCACCTACTCCACTTGTTTCTCGCCACCAAAGGAAACACAAAATTAGCTACCACAAAGAGTGAAGGGAGTGCTGGGAGTTAAGAAAGCACCAAAGACACTTCTACCAACCCCGCAGAACTTGGAGATCAAAGTGGAGAAGGTGGCCAGGACACCACTGGGCCCACAGTGAGATGGCAGTTGGGAGTGTCCACTCCATAAAGGACAGGACCCAGACAACAGCACCTAAGAGAGCCCAGTGGGACCCACAGAGCTCCTGCCAAGGCTCTGAGAAGCACTACACTAGCCAAGGGCAACAGCAAGGAAACCACAGGCATGATCTGAGCACCTCCCCCCACAGCCACAGAGCTCCTTTGACCTGAGGCAAACCAATTTCTCAGAAAAGTCCACTCTAGGTCAACATCAGGGTGTTCAGCCTCATAAACAGTGAGCCAAGAAAACTGAGGTTGCCAGGTGTGGGGAGAGAAACAGACTGTGACTCAAATAAAAACTCACCAATTCAAAGAAGATTTAAACCCCCCTCCCCGCTGAGTCACCTGGTTCATTCTAGGCCCTCCAGCCGGACCCTAACTGAAGAGGAACCTTTGAAATCTCATGACCCCCTAACCCAGGCACTGGGAAGGGGAGACAAACAACAGGAACACAAAATCATTTCCCTAAGGGAGCTGAGACCAGGATCTGCCTGTGCATCCCCACAGGAGTCGGGCACAACTTCCTCATCCCGGCCAACAAGCACTTACTACCCACTGGCCAGGTACCTGGGCTGCACAGACTCCCACACAAACCTTGAGTCTTTTAAGTTCCCTTTAAGGAAAACAGAAGGCAGTTACTCCACTCACTCACGCTCTACTGTATCTTGTAGACAGGGCTTAGGGTAACGTGTTACCCCACATTAAAATCACCTGGTCCGAGATCACCCAGCAAAACCAAGTCACCAGAAGAACATCTTCCAATATCCACTGGCTGTTCCAGTTACTCACTGTCCCCAATCTACAGATTTTTTCTTACTCATAGTTCCTTAATCTCTTCATTCAATTAGCATGCATGCCTACTGTGTGCAAGGTATTGTGGGAGCTACAGAGATGAGTAGCTCTGTAGATGAACTGTTCTCCGGCATGGAAAAAATTAATAAGCTGTGGTTGGAAAGACAAACCTGAAGGAGAGGTTAGTCAGAACAGGGGCAAACAAATACCACTTGGTGTTGGCCTGGACAGTGCTGGGAGCATGGATTCTAGAGTCATTTACGACCTGTGTTTGGATCCTAATTCTACCACTTACCACCTGTGAATTAACCTCTCTGTACCTCTGTTTCTTCACCTGCAAAACAGAGTGGACCTTCTCTCACAGGGCCACTGGAGGCTTAAATGAGGGGCTGAACTTACAGCATTCAGCACAGGGGCCAGGCCATGGAAAGTCACCAACAAAGGCTTTGAATAGATGGTTTTTATAGACATTGAGATGAAGGGGGTGATCAGAAAACTGATCAGAAGGTATGTGCAGAAAACTATCACAAAGTCCTGCATGGAGAAGTTAAAAGATGGCTAGGATTTGAGTGGATAAGAGGCACACATGTTCCAGACAAGAGGAAGGGAGTCCAGAAAGACGCTACAGCAGTAATTCTAGCAAGAAGGAATGAAGGCTAACATAGACATGGAGAGATCACATGGAGATTTGAGGATGACAAAGAGAAGATTCCTTTCCTTAATTTTCTTAAATATTTCTTAATATTCCAGTTGCTTCTGTCACCCTTGCAACTCAGAGCCACCCCTTATCTCCTTCACAGTGGCAATGTTCCCGTCCTGACCCCATTCATCACTCCATCCCTCCTCCCCCACGACCCGGCTCTTAAGCCGCAGGACAATAAGTGGAGTCCAATCCAGAATGAAGGTTTTGATCCTAAAATCTGTGAACCCTGAGCCCCAATCAGCGGGACCGCCACTCTTAGCAGCATCTTCTAAATGTGTACACCAACCTCAGCAATCTCTACACAATTCCGCTGCCCTTCTATTACTGAAAGCAAGCCCATGTGAGCTATCGCTGCCACCATGCTGTTTCAAGATGGCAAATGAAAGAAACCACAAGTTGCCAGTCTTACTAGTGCATTTAACTTAGTTAAAAATCACCAACTTCTCTGAAGAATGCCTTACAAAAGATAGCATAGACATCCAACATCAAGAAATTGAATTAGACACATTCACCCATCCCCCAATCTAAAATGAAACTACTTGTACAGCAAAGACTGACCACAGGAATTGGCTGCCCATGGATTAAAAATAAATAAATAAATATGCAAGATCTTTACTACAAAGAAAAGTCAAATTCACCATGATTATGTGGATAATGTACCTCGTAGTCTCCTCCCCAACCTCCTGCTCAGGAAACCCTTTGATCACCACCATGGATTTTCCCAGAAGAACCACATCACAAGTGAACCAGTCACCTCACCTATTACTCCTAAAAGTTTACCAGGCCATAAGTAACCATTTACCAGCCTCTCTTTTTCAGTCTGGGAGAGGGCATAAGAACTGGTCAATTTCCTCAGCATTCCACTCCAAGGGCATTAATTTTTCCATTATAGCAAAATTTTTAAACATTGAATTTTCTCAAACCTGTGAGCCTCCAGCTGAGTCTCTAACTTCTAGTATTACAGGAGAAATTTGCACCATAAAGATATTCATGGTAATGGGATTTGACACTTGTGAAATTCAACCAGATGGGTCTGGTCTCCTAGGCCAGTTTCGAACTCTGTACATGGGACACGGAGGGCCTGGCCAACTGGGTGGCCGGGACATTCAAGAACCCAACTTCCATGCCTTAGACCTTGGGGACAATTCCTAGAACCCAACTTCCATGCCTTAGACCTTGGGGACCATTCCTAGAACCCAACTTCCATGCCTCAGGCCTTGGGGACCATTCCTAGAACCCAATTCCCATGCCTTAGACCTTGGGGACCATTCCTACCCACCTCCAGCAGAAGTGCAAGGCCAAGTAAATCACCTCTTACATGCACATGTGTGTACACACACACAAGCATGCACACACACTTAACCTTCTACAAGGCCAATGGGAAGCAAAGACCGGCAGAAGGCTGGTAAGATCTTGAGATGCTACCCCATCCACCTACCCCAGGAAATCTTAACCTGTTTTCACCGGATCATAAAGTCTGACTCCAACCCAGGTTTGTAGTCTAATTTTTTTTTTAAGGGGACCGTTGTAGGAGATAAACATGTGGCTAACATCTCTTGGAAGCATTTCATAACCCCTAACTCTTCCAAGTAGAGGGTGGAATGACTGGGTAGGATGTACTATAATGTGATGAAATTAACTTTCATCTTTGTAAGAATATTTTGAACACAGGATTATGAACCAAGTATATACACTGTCTCAGTGTACACAACATGAGCCCTAACCACCAAATACACATATACACCCCAATACATAACTTGAAAGATTGACCCCTGGAAAAGTAATGCAAGAGTCCATTTCACCAAATTCTCATTCAACCACCCCTTCTACTATAAAACACAAGTTTCATACTTTTTTTTTTTGGTTCTGTCCATTTTTTCTTAAACCAACTCCTCACTGTCCACTCTGAACATAACCCATACATGGTTATGCCCTACACAACACTATTTAATTCTCCAGATAGGTATTACCCTCTTTTGCATAATTACAACATTACGAAATTCTGTTCACCAAGTTCGAATGCTGCTGGGGGAGAATACGGGGCAAGGCCCGTAGTGAGGTGGGCAGAACAGAAAGAAAGGCAAGGCGAAAACAAAGACCACTGCCAATTGGCTGTGTGTTTGCTTTTGGTACCGAAGAAGTTAGAGCTATCCAACCCTGTAATTATTGCCAGGATTAAGAATTTGTTACTCACGTAATCATGAAAGGCTTTTGCTTCACTTGAATGTTCACAAGTGTCTCGCCTTTCAGGAGCTGCACAGTAAAGGTCCCAAAATACGCTGCAAGTCGAAAAATAAAGTTAAGATCAGGTTACTAATTATTACTTGCGTGCCCAATGGCAAGTGCACAAGGCATGGTGCTAACAGCACCAGGTCTCCCAAAGGCTCGATCCCACCTTTCCAGCCTTCATCGGGCACGCTCAGCCTAGAAAACAAAATGGACCCGATCTTTTCTGGCAAGCCAGTCATTTGTAATTAAGAGTAATAGTTCTCGTCTACTGGCACCTACTATGTGCTAGGGGCCTCATACCCTAGCTTATGACTACCACAGCACTATAAGGTAGGGGATTTTATCCCCATTTTATTCATGCAACCACTGAAGCAGGCTCCAACAGGTTGGTACAACCTGCTCACAGATGCTCAGATGGGACAGGTGGGACTTCAGATGAGAATTCATGCCTGTCCCATCTGTGCTCGCTCTATCCCCTCCCCAAACCAAGATGGCTACATCTCACAGGAAGCTTAAATTGTTAAAGTCAGGACTATGATTCATATGTGCTGCAATCTGGGTGACTGGCAATAAAGCGAACCTATAGATTCTTAATTCCAGAGCCCACACCCCCCTCCTCCCATTGTGCCCCTACTACCACCCAGGACCTCTCCCAAGATATTCTTATGCAAGAACCATCCTTCCCCTGCCCACTAAAGAACATGCATCAGTTAGCTGAAGGAGAGGTCATGGCGACCAAGTATCTCATCCTCTCCTATTCAAATAGAAAGCCCTCCTCAAAGAGGCACCTCCCCTGCAAAGGGGGAGTGGGACAAGGCAGGGGATGGCACTAGAAATCTCTGCCTCAACCCTTTCATGGTTTTGTATGGTCACTCTGCTTTGTATTGCATAAGAACAGAAATACAAGTCCTATCAACCAGTAAAACCCTCTTCAAACACAGGATAGACAATGATATTAACAAGGGGCCTTAGAAACCCTCCCAGGTCAGAAACCCAAGACCAAAGGATAGGAACCTGCTTGAAGGGTAAAATGGACACCAGAATAGCAGTTGACTCTCTGGTCCAGTGCTCCTGTACCCATTACAAGAAGCAGCACAGAAGAAACCACCTTGACCTCTCATTCTGCCAGTCATCAGACAAGCAATCTTACTCAAGGTGTGTGAACAATGCAGCCTGGACCTTTTTGGATCAGCTCCAGTGCTTCCTCTCTCCCCAAAAACCATGGTCATTTGCTTGGTGTCAAATCACATGAGGCAATTTCTAACTCATAAGACCAAAGCAATAGTCACTCAGAGCCACCACTGTCTGCAGCACCACAAACCCAACATTCCTGGTGCTGAGAAAAGGCTGGAGAACTTTTGGGAGATACGGATAGAAGAGGCAAATCGGGGGCTTCTACTAGCTGCAAAGGGCGGCTCAAGAGCATTCCTTTCTATCCTCTGAAACTGCACATACTTTACTAACTCCACACACTAAATATCTCTAACACTACAAACTCCCCAGCCCCTTCCTTCTAGGTTACTTTTACTCTCAAGCCTAAGTTTCTGCAAAATCCATGACGGTGTGACCCACCAACCCCATCCACTCACTCCTCTCCAAAAACAACCTGAGAAAATCCATCGTCACTCCTACAGGTAGAGTCCTTATGCCACACCAAATGCCTCCAACACTGGCAGTAGGCAGGTTGACAGAAATAATTAAAAACTCATTTTCTCAGAGCAGGTTGGAAGAGACAGTTCATCCCCCCACATTTCAAAAGGACTTGAAACAGTAACATGAGCTACCTACATCAGGTAAAGGAGCTAAGATCCCTAAGATCCCAAGACACAGCCCTCCGTTTTCCTGAACTCCACCAAAATATCCAAAGCCAACTCTTCTTTCTTTTCCACCAATAGGTCCCACAAAACACCCACGTCTGACACACACAGCAGCTTGCTCCCGCTGACCCTAAGCCTCCCTCCTGCCTGCGGCAAACCAACACAGCAACAGACCTGGGGGTGGTCCTGATCCACAGTGTCCAGGGGCCTAGAAGAGGGTCACAAACAAGAGAGAACCCCTAACTACCACTAACAGGCACTATGTGAGGTCAACGTGGACCAGTGAGGGTTCTCACAATAAAACTTCGTGGTTTTAGGGATGATGGAGTGGGCGGGGTGTTTAGTATAGAGGAGATGAGGTCCAGGCAGTCTGAATCAGTATCTTTAAAAGAAGTGGCAGCCCCTTCTTACTTTTTCCCCTGGTGCCAGAAAAAGACCCCAGTAGACTTTTTCTCAAGGTTTTGAGCTCATAGAAGGAAAAGGAAGGGACAGGCCAGTTGTAAAACAGACCTGGTATCCCCGCAGCCCCACCCCACCCCCACTCCCTCTAATTAAAGCAGTATGCAGAATTGACAAATCTTCAAGGTTTTTTCAAGCCCCTGACTAGTGCCCCAGAGCAAGATGGAAAAGTAAGGAGTTTCTATCCAAACACCAGGCTCGATTTATAGTAGGTTCTCACAGGAGGGGAAGAGGCAGCAAAAACTTCAGGCACCAGCTGCTTCTGACCTTTCCCTCCTCTACCTGTCCTGGTATGAGCATCCTGGCCGTGCCCAGTTCTTTGCAAAGCTGAGGGCTAAGACGTGTGTGGGGCCTGTCCAGGCCTCCCATCTTTGTTCACTTGGACCCCGGGCTCAGAACAAAACAAACACATACACAAAACTATCACACAAACTTACCACCACCACGAGTGCAAAAACCCAGGCGGTTCTCCCAACGTGATGTTTTTTTCCCATCGAATCTGGAAAGGAGAGAGCAGAGGCAGCTTAGAGGAGCAGAAGACAGGAAGTGGGATGGGGGCTTCCCAGAGCCAAAAGGCTGTTTAGACCAACTAACAATAAATGCCAAAAGGTGATAAAAATTCAAAATGGTGGCCACAGTGGCTGCTCCTGAAAACAAAGGCTCTAAGAATAGTGGGGAGGAGGGGGTGTCAAGAAATTGGATGATTAAGGGAGTTCCACTCACCTCCGACAAGAAGGTCTGTGCAGATTTCTGTGCTCCTACGTGCAGTAAATATTCGTAGACATATAAAGCTAACCTGGAAAGTGGGAAGGGGGTACAGAGAGAGAAGGAAAGCGTCAGATCACACGGGGCACCCACTCCTGGACCCTGCCAGTCGGCTTCCAGCCCTGTCTGCGCTGTCCCATTGTGGCCGGGACCAGAGGTGAGTAGCTAGCTCGGTGCGATCAGTTAGCGGGTGAAAACCAGGAGATGTGTTATCTCAAGCTTTAGGGCCGGACAGCAGCCCCCAATCTTTAACTTCCAAGTGGCATCGGGGCCAGAACTAGGGAGGTCTCTCAAACTCGCAAGCCACCCGACCCCTGAGCTTCCCTCCTTTCCCGACCCACTCTGCCACCCTCTCCCCAGTTTATCGGGTCGGGAGACTCAGTCCTGTACTCTGGGGTGCTCCTCACGCTCTGGAGGGGGCAGCAAAGCGCCACCCTCACCACCTCCCCCTCCAAACAACTGTCCCCCAAGCCTAGGGCCGAGCCGGGGCCGCCGTCCCTGCCCAGCCCGGTGCTCCGGAGGGCGCGGAGCCCGTGGCGAGGCCGAGGGCAGGGAAAGGAGAGCGTTCCTTGCCAAACAAAGCCCCGGGCACGCACTCCTCAAGCCGCGGGCGGACAAAAGGAGTCGTCGGGGCTGCAGAAGCCACGCGCCCCCTGCCCGCGCCGGGTGGGCAAAGTGCGGCCACCGCGGTGAGTGCCCCGGCTAAGGCGAGCTCCGAGGCTCGCCCGCGGGACCTAGCCCGTCGCTCACCGCGGGCCCCCGCTCACGACACGCCCCGCGGCCACCAAGTGCCCCCTTACCCGGCGGCGCCCCCCGTCACCCCTTCCCCGATGCCCCAACCTCCGCCGGCTCCCAACAATGGGCTCTCCCACGGCACCCGCCGCGGCCTCGGGAAAGGACCAGGCAGACGGCGCCGGGGCCCGGGGCGCAGCAGCCCCCGCCCGCCCGCCCACCTGCCTCCCACCGCCCGCCCGCAGCCCGGCGGCGGCGCGGCCGCCACTTGGAAAATAGGGCTTACTTTTCCCGAGCCTGCCCGTCCGAGGGCACCGCCGAGCCTTTGCCTTTGGCAAACATGGTTTGCAGAGAAGGCGCCGAACCTCGTCGCCGCCGCCGCCGCTACCTCTCCGGCTGCTCCCGAGCTGCCCCCTCGCTCCCGATCCCCTCCCCGGCGCTCACTCGCTCGCGCTCTCCTCGCCGCGCTCCCCTCCCTCCCCCCCAGGCGCTGGCTCCGCGCTCTTTCCAGCTGTCAAAGCGTCAGCCCCGGCCGCGGCCCCATCTCCCTGGAAGTCCTCCCGCGCCGGCTCGGCCTGGGGTGCCGGTGCCGCGGCCGCTCGCCCGCCGGCCCGGCTGCCCGCTGGCTCGCTCGCGCGCCCGCCCGCCCGGCTCCGCCTGCGCCGCCCTCTGCGCCTCCGGCACCGCTGCCGCTGCCGCTGCCGCTGGTCTACTTGGAGCTCAACCGAACGTGGCTACCCGGGCAAGGAAGCGAGGCGGGCGTCAACGTCCCGCGATTGATAGCCGCCTCTGCCAATCGGCGCACGGGGGCGGTTCCGGGGCGCCCGGGAGGGACGCCCTGTCAGCCCCCGGCAGAGGCAGTCCCCTCTGCGGCCGCCTTCGCGGAGCCGGTGCCCCTGCTCCTCCCGGCGAGCGGGGGTGTTCGGGGGTGCGCACCTCTCCCATCTGTAGTTGTGGGGAGGGGACACCAATCGGGATGGGGGAGCTCTGGTTTCCCGGCCCCAGCGAGGAGGGGGTTTAACCTGCGCTCCGCGGCTTGGAGTACTGGGTGGCGGGGGGAGGGCGCTGCGGCAGCATTGGAGGGGAGGGCGCGCGGACCCCTAAGCGGAGCCGCCACGTCCCTCTCTCTTATCTGCCCCTCACCTCCCCCTGCCGCTGCCCGCGCCTGCCCAGCCCTTATCTCTCCCCCTCCCCTCGCCTGCCTTTCCCCCTGGGCTCTGACCCCGGCCCCCTCCCCAGACTCTAGCCTGGTGTCCCCCTACCCTGGCTGCCCAGCCCCCGGTCCTCGCTCTTGCCCAGTCTGGCTTCCGAGCGGGCCTGGGGCTCCACGCTGCGAGCGGGGCAACTCGAGTCGGCGCCAGGACGCGCGGCTGCTCCTTTACTAGATCATTAAAATACTTTGGAAAACCCCAAAGTGGAGCGGCGCAAAAATGGCCCTGGGCGTGCTTTGGGGAACCTGGGAGAAGGGACCGAGGGACCTAGGCTAAGAGAAGGGAGGATTGCACCCCAAATTTCAAGGTCTGCCAGCCCTGGCAAGTTAGCCCCTTGGCTTTTCAACGAGATGGTGCCATTCCAGGGTAGGGGGGCGTCACCTGGTCGCCCCGCTACTCGGAATGCGCGCCACAGAAATCTGCAAACTTCAAATAAATGGAACTAGATTGGGCTTTGGGGGACGAGAGTCAGGCGTGGGGGAAGGGGAAGCTTCCATTGTCAATGACCCAGGTGTACAATGGGAAATAGAGGTGGGGGCTGGCAGAGTGACCCAGCTATTTGCTGCTGACACCTTTATGCTCACGCCGGGAACCCGGAGGACACACTGTGTATCCCTCACTAGAGACTTACGACCAGAAACTGGCGAAATAGGGGACGACTCCCCCATTTTTAGACTGTTTTCAGAGCGCGGTTCTCTTTAAATGTGACAAAACTATAGGCACTGTCTCTTTAAAAGAGTCAAGCAGAAAAAGCTGTGTAAGTGCTGATTGGCTGCCGGTTTGGATACATCTTTAGGGGAGCCTTGAAACTGTTAGCCTAGGTTGATTTTTTTTTTTTAACTGCGCTGTTCCAATAAACAAGTAACGCCCCTCCCCCTAACAAGCCTCGCACCAAACAATTAAAGGATAGGTCAGTGTCCTGGGGAAAACACGTTTCAAGTAGGAAAACTCAGAACTAAATTTCAATAAAATAAAGAGTAATTCCCAACTATTAAAGTTGGCTTATTTTGATCTGTTGAAAAGAGAAAAGGGGCTTTAAAAAGAAATGGCCCGCAGCAAACGGATCTACATTGGTTCAGGAAAGAGACTGAGTGCATTTTTGGAATAATGTTCTACTCAGTGTAACAGCCTCCCTAAATTAGAATACAACCGGGCCCTACAAACGCCTCTGGACTCAGTCTGTTCTCTACAGAGACCTAGAGCTCACAGGCGAAGGGGGCAGGAAGGGAAAACACTGAACCCTAGTCTATGGTTGTCTGTGTGCTAGCCCCTAGTTTAAAGGTTGTTTTGTGAATGAGAGTTGGAAGGGAGTTGAAATAAAAGGATAGGGGAGAGAAGGAAATAATTACAGTTATTTTTTCCCCTAGGCGGTTTAATTTAATAGGACTAACTTAAGGTACCTTAGAGTCTACACTAATTAAATTGGCCTACTCGTACCCTTCCCCTGGACTTAAATTTTTGATGGGCTAGGAATGGCCAGAGATGGCTTGTCAACAGACTGACTCACAAGAAGCCTGACTCATCTTGGGTCTGCAAGGCCCACAGATGATGAGTATCTTGAATATTGGTTAGGTCCTGGCTAAAGCAACACTGCCCGTCTCTGGCCCTGCTACACGGCATTCTCTACCAAGTTGGCCATGCCTTGCATCACAGGCATATCTGTGTGCACATCATTTTTCTCATCTACAAACGGGAAAAGGGGGTAGGTCTTCAATATCTCTTAAGAGTCTGATATTCTATGGCGCCAATTTTCCTTCCATAGTTTTCACCATCACCACCACCCCAACTCCGCATCCTTAAAAAAAGACTAGCTCCTCCTTGCAGAGCATGTGTGGCAAGAAGGGAGGGGCAGCATTCCAGGAACCTGTGCCAGGCACGCAGTCCCTGTGGTCTGCCCTTTGCTGGGGCTTGACATAGCATGAGGCCCCACGGAAGGTTGATGGGAAGGTTGGGGGTGGAGCTGAAAGAGACAGTGGGAAAGTCTAGGCAGAGAGATCAGGGAGCCTCCAGCCTGCTGGTGAGGAGGAAATGGATTGGTTCCCAGGAAGCAGGACCACTCAGCAGCCCCCAAGTAGGCTGTAGTTGCTGGCACAATGATCCAAACACAGTCAGATCAAAAGAAAGGGCAGACACTCAAGAATAGCATCCAAAACCCCAACCCACCTTTTCCCACTGGATCGCCCAGTCCCCATCCTCCCTGGACCACATCTTCGGGTCTGGTGTCTACATGGAATGCCTCCCACCACAACCCCCTTCTTTGACTATTCCTTAAGGCTACCATCCCTTCTGATACCATCTCCTCCAAAAAAAACCTCCTTGCTTTTCACTCCTAGGGCAAAACTCATCCCTCTATCCGTTTTTGCTTGGTCTCATTTTGCTTGAACTTCCATAGTTCTCCACTCATTCTGCCTATTGTTGTAGCCATTGTTTATGGTCTCCCAGGCCAGACTGGGGAAGGGGGCAGGAATTAACTCTGAGTCATCTGTGTGTTTCCAGCACCAGGGCACAGGTTCAATACCTGCGTACATACAGAGATCATGAGAGGAAAAATGGCCCCATCCCCAAAGTAGCTCTGAGCCCAGTGGGAAGCTACGAAATGGGGGACACTGCCAACAATAGGATTAGATAAAGCCACTGCCCAGCCCCGCTGCCGAAACTACAGCCCCTGGAGCTACTGTGCTTTAAGCTCCTAGGAATACACCCAGACATTTCACACATCCAGTCTAGGCTCATTCATTCTTTCTCCTTCACTCTCCCTATTCCTGCTTTCTTCCCTTCCTCCTCCTCCCCCTCCTGCCCTTCCTTGTTTTCTTTCTTTCTTTCTATTGAGCATCTACTATATACCAACCACTGTTCTAGGCACTGGGTAATAATCCAGACGAAAATCCCTCCCCTGTGGAGCTTGCACTGTTGTGAAATCATCGGCACAATAGCCTCTTCCTGTGACAGACTCCTTACACATTCTAAAACCCAGCCGGGCAGGTAGCCCCTCCTCCAGAAAGCCTTCTCAGAAAGCCCACTCTGAGCTCCAGACTAGGTCAGGAGTCCCCTAGCAGCCCCTGTGCTTCTCCCTGACCAGGACAGATTGCTGTTGGCCACACTGCATGGGTGTGGTCACATGTGCATTTGCCCCGCAGGATGTGAGCTCCTCCTGGCCAGGGAATGATCGCCCTTCATCTGTGGGCCTCTGGTGGCCAGCAACTGTGGTGAAAGGAGCTGAAGTGACTGAGTGACCAGAGAGTGTGGAAGGACAGACAGGTGAAATGGGAGAGGGGAAGGTGAGTGGAGTTCCAGCTTTGGCTAGAATGGCCACTGCTTCTCTCAGCTGCCAGAAACTGGAGGGCAGAAATCCCAGGCTTTAGGATCAGGTAAGCAGGGGCCAGAGATGGCAATTAAAGGAGAGGCCCATGGGCTGAACTCAGGAGGTTGCGTTTACCAGGGTGCCAGGGGATCTCATTGCCCCTCCCTATTCGCAGCTCTATTCCAGTGTTCCCCACAGCTGCTGGGAGGATGGGGGCGCCCCTTGGGGAGCTGTTTGAATGGACTCGGTGTGGAGCCCATCCCCTCCTGCGACAGCACACTGGCTCCTGAAATTGCCTGAAGACGTGTCTGGTCAAAACCTTGGGCCCCTGCTGGTCAGCCCTGGTTTTAGGAGAATTTCCCCCAAGGGCATCAAGGGCTTCCATGGGGGGAATGCAAAATCCAGCACCCAGAGACCTGGCTTCAACCTGGCTCAGCACCTTGCTGGTGGGATTTGGGCAGGTGAGATTCCTTCTGTGAGCCTGTGAAAGGAGGATGTTAATGCCTATGTCAAAGGCAGGTGTAAAGATGAACTCTTGGAGCTGATTGGGAATTACCTGCTAGGCTGCCAGTCAGTTCTGACTGAGCCTACGATTCGGAATGCCTCTGGACACTGGGGTCACTGCTTTGAAGGCAGTTTGGAGGCTCAGCTGAGGTAGTAATTGGGGAAATGTTTTATAAATTGAGAAAGATGATTATTCCTGATGTCATTAGCATACCAGAGCCAGCAAACAAGAGGTGCTAAGGAAGAAGGAAGTCAATTTGAGTTTAAAATCAAATGTGTTTTGAAATGTCTTCTGGTGGACATATACATGTCTTGAGCCAGCTTGTCATAACCAAATCATTTTAGGCAATTCTTGAATGTGTTTAGTTCTATCTAAAAAACACTAAGTGATTGGCCCCGAGCCAGGGATGCTGGGAAGTACAAGAAAATCCAAGACAAGGTCCTGCCAAGGAAAGA